AAAAAAAAAAAAAATCAAACCTCATATTTATCGAGAGTCCTGGTTCTTATCTCAGCCTTGTCCATCTCTGTAATGCCAACATTCGTTAGGGTTTGTCGAACATATCCTGGCTCAACAGGTACAATCTTCAGATCATCAGAAATCATGAAAGATGCTGATTTTTCTGTAAAACCTTCACCGCCAAATCCAATAGGCGCAGTTCGAGGTCTCTTACTGCAGTTTGGAATCGCGTCCATTATTTCGGATCCAATTTGGAGCTTCAACTTAACTCCATCCATTTCATATCTACGTGGACTGATCACTTGAGGCTTAAAACGCCCTTCCCAGAAATGGTAATCGCTCAAAACAGATAACCCTCTGTACAGGGTAGTTAAACTTCCGATTACAGGAACGGCGGCGGCCACTTCCCCATGATAGAGGAGAACCTTCATGATCGTTCCCAATGGCAAGGTCATGAAGCTTAACAGAATATCGATGAAATCATTGTCAGCTTCGGCTAATAGTACTTTTTTGCTCTCTTTATCTATCAGGGCTGTCAAAGAGAACGAGATATTGCTAGTGTCGGGCATCTTTCAGTCCCTGGAACGAAACTTTAATCCGACCGAATGCAAGAGGACGCAATTAAGAGGCCTACCTACATTCATTTACAGAAGAGTGAGAATTAAATTTGTTTAAAAAGAAAGATTGGCTAAAGTATGGCGCAAACACATTTTCAGCTACTAGCTTTACGGCATTACAGAAACAATGAAAGATATTAAACCTAACTTCAACCGAAAAGCCGTAATTTCTCTTCGAACAACATGATTTCAAATGTTTGTAAAACCAAATGCAAAATTCTCGAGCCACTTCATAGGGAAACATTTATCGTAAAAATAGATTTGGGGAACTGCTAGGGTTTTCGAGTTTCAGATGTTTTGGAAGTACCTTATGCGTAAACAAAGATGGCGTTCCAGAAACGCGGCGGAGACGGCGGCGGACTGCTGAGGTGTTAACGGAGGCGGGGCGTTCCACTGAGAGAGTGTTGGGTGTGGAACTGTGGACAGGATTGCAATAGCTTTTACAGTCTACTTCTACGATTTGAGACATGGCCAACGGACCCGACACGCCGATCTAGTCCGACCCGGCTATTATGTGGTTCCAGCTGGCAACCGACTGTTGATCTATTACTTTTGTTCGGCTAGCTAGCAAGCAATTTCACAAGTCCAACATGTATATTATATGAACAATGTTATAAATACATAATAAAAATGCTACAAGTACATAATAAATGTACATAAACGTGTACATAACACTCATATGGAGTAAGGTTCATTTGATTTTTTTATTTTGGTGGGTTCCACTCAATGTGAGTGTTATGTACACCCCTATGACAATATTACGTACTTAATATTAACATTGAGTGAGATCTACCAAATATTTTCCATATTATATTCACATAATTTCATATCAACCAGCTAACATCTAAAGTCCTTTATTTTATTGAAGAAAAGTTGAGACTTAGGTGATGATTGAATATAAATAAAATTAGTTTTATTGACCTTATTGGTTACATTGAGTTAATTTTAAATAAAGTGGATTGAGCAGAGATTTAAGTGAAAGTTTGATTTTTTAAAAAAAAAAAATATTTAAAATATAATTACTAATGTTGATCTTATATAAAAGTATGAGATAAGTTATTGAAAATGATATGTAGTTAAAAACTTGAGTGGTTAAATATTACATAGACAATTGCATAATATACTAAATAGTGTTGACACTTGGTCGTGTTGGTTGTCACACTTAAAAATACTCATTCTCCGGGCCCAGCCCATACTTATCTCTAGCCCACTATTATTAATAAAATTATTGTATATGTATATATATAAATTAATTATGTAAAAAAAATATAGATTATAATTTTAATATATATCTATATAATGGACCAAACTATTTTACTATATACGTAACAAAATTTTCCGCCTATATATTTCAGCTAAATTTCACAATTACTATTAGACATTCATTTATTACATAAAACCATAATTGGTTAGTTCATTAAGGAATTTGAGAATATTTGAACCAAATATTGTTTGAATAAAAATTTGGTCTCAAAGATTCGTGAAGATAAATTAATTGTTTTAATAATATACTCGAAGATATATGCTATAGCCATATTATCATATACCGGTCTAAGTACTGGTTACTCAACTGCATAGTCACCAACGACGACACCATCAAGTCGACTTTGGTAGAGTCGACTTTCTAGTATAACCGATAGCGAGAAGAACTCCTATACCTCCCGGACGAGCTCATCAAAGTCGACTTTGAAAAGTCGACTGCTGAGAAAAAGGGAGCGAACGTGCACGGGAAAGAGCCTTCGAATGTTATCAAATACGTCTTAAGTCGACTTGGTAAAGCTTCAAGGTCGACCTTACATGTCTCGAGACCCAAGGGGTTCAGACGACTCTATAGCGCAAGGGAACCTCCAAACATGGCTGAATCTAAATATGATAAGAAGGAATCTAGACGTTGACTAAAAGGTGGACGGAATGCGAATCGACCTGAGTATTTTGGACACTTCATGTAAGTCGGCTAGGGTATTTTGGGTACTTCAAGTAAGTGTTTTACCCGTATAGAAAGGGTATGAGGTAATTCATTTTCTTAATTGTTACTCCCACTGAGCAGAGCTCACTTCATCACTCTCATACTGACTTGAGCGTCGGAGGCTCTTCACCGGAAACACCTCAAGTGTTGAGTTCTTGCAAGTGTTTGTAGCGGTTCGAAGACGATTTTGGAGACGGTTCGAACAGATCGGAGCTCTTTACTATCGGTTCACTCCAGATCTAGGAGAAGACCCATCAATCTTTTGCAAAGCTGATGAAGGGCATACTGTCCTACTAACTAACCTCCTCCAGTTGTATGAAGAGTTCTCAGGGCAGAAAATCAACTTGCCCAAATCTACAGCCTTCTTCAGCAAGAATACTCCCATTAACATTAAATCCAGAATCTGTGAGATTTTAGATGGCTTGTCTGTTCACAACTCCTCGAGATATCTTGGACTCCCCTTTGGCATTGGCAAATCCAAGAAAGAGGCCTTTGATTTTGTCATTGAAGCTGTCAGGAAAAGATTAGTTAGTTGGAAGAATAGATACTTATCCACAGCAGGCAAGGAGGTGTTAATCAAAGCGGTCATCAACTCTCTCCCAGTATTTCCCATGTCTTGTTTCAAACTCATTGCTGGAATTTGCAAGGAGATAGCCAGTATGACTGCTCAATTCTGGTGGTGCAAAGGAAAGAACCAAGATAAGGGTCTCCACTGGAAGAACTGGAATATCATGACTCTTCCAAAGAAGCAGGGGGGGGTTAGGATTTCAAGACATTAAATTGTTCAATGAGGCCTTGATTTTAAAACAACTTTGGAGAATCACTAGTGAACCTGAGCTTCTTGTTTCTAAATTCCTTAAGAGCAAGTACTATCATAATTCTTCAATCTTTCTGGTCACTAGAAAAGAATCAGCCTCATGGCTCTGGAATAATTGGATGCAAGTGTTGCCAGAGTTCAAATCTCATTGCTGGAAACAAATTGGGTCTGGTAGGAGCACTAAGATCACAGATGAAGGATGGATACCATCTTTGAGGGGAGTTGTCCCAACCTTCAGAAGGGATATGCTTAACATAATAGTAGCCAACCAACCTGTGTGGGTACATGAACTTCTGGAAGAAATGGCAGGAGATGGAATACAAAATTGGTGAGACATTTTTTTACTGATCATATTGGGGAAGCCATTCTCCAAATTGATACAATGGCTCATGATAAGGAAGACATGTGGAGATGGGACCTAAACAACATAGGGCTATTTTCAGTAACAGACTCATATTCTCACTTGATTAAAGGAAAAATAAAAAATTTGGATATTGCAGAAGGGAGCAGATCTCTGAAAGTGGACACTGATGTCAGAGAAAGGAGCTGGAAATTAAAAATCAAGGGAAGAATCAAACACTTCATATGGAAGTGCTTCACAGGCACTCTTCTGGTGGGAATGAATCTTCCGAAGAAAGGAGTTGAAGTAGATCCAATTTGCAAAGTATGTGAAGAATCCGAGGAGACAATTGAACACCTCTTACTCAAATGTGCAAAGGCTAGACATGTGTGGAAATTAACTCCGGTTTCTTGAGAAGGAATTCAAATCCAAAACACATCTTTCAAAAAATGGTGGTGGCAAGTTTGCGCTCTGGATAAGAAAGAGATCTCCGAAGCCCGAATTCAATTATCTACTTACATCTTTTGGTGGCTATGGAGATCTCGTAACATATGGCTCTTTAATGGGGAAAATCTCCCTGAAACTGTAATCTTAAAAAGAGCAGTTAAGGAATAGACAGAGTTCAATTCAGTGGTTAAGGGTCAGCTCGAAGAGAAGCATGGCAGGCTTCAGATTTCAGAAGACTGAGCTTTGTCTGATATTGGTGGCTACTATTGGTTTTCTGCATGGAGTCTAGCAGCTGGTATTCTGTGGTGCTCTGTGTTTTTTTTTTCTTTAGTGCTTGTAGTTCTTTTTAGTTCAGTTGTTTTCCTTTCTTTTTTGTTGTTCTGGTTGTGTGGTGTGCTTTGTTGTGGGTGGTCTAGGAGGTATTGTCAAGGATCGGGTTACGGTACTTGCTTGATTCCTCGGGTGGCTTGGTTTTAGACTACTAGTTGTAGTATGTCTCTCAGTGTATTTTTACCCGTTTGGTAGGCTCGGCGGTCTGTACCCAAACTTTATTTATTTATGAGAATCTCCTATTGTTTGAAAAAAAAAA